GGGTCTGATTATTATATTGTTGACACTTTAAAATACTACTATCCTACTAAAATGCTGTACAAATCAGATTTATTATTTAATAAAGAAATAAAAAAAATAAAAATTCATATCCTTTATTTTTCAATATCACGATAAATATCGTACCGTGGACTTTTTAATCGCGATATTATCGTACCGTGAGTTTTTTGGTATCGTTACATCCCTATTGGTTACTATTACTTACTTAGTTATACTAAAGTAAGATTTTCAATGACAGTGAAATCCTTAACAACAGTATCCATCTATTATTATTGGAGGTTTAAACTGACTGAGGTGAAGTCACCAAACAACAAGAACAACCTTAACAATAAATAACAAAAAAGCTACAACTGAACAACATCATTGTCTTTTTTCAGGAGTGTACAGTACTCACTTTTCTGAGCATGTGTTTTAATATACAAATAATAAAAAGCACCGACCTGTTTGTCTAGGCGGTCGGCGATGCTGTAGACCAGCGGAGGGATGGAGCCTTCTTTAGTTTTCCCCACATCACTGCGGTAATGTTCACTCGCAGGCAGACAGCTGAGGATCACACACACGTACACACACACACACACCACACACACACACACACACACACACACACACACACAAACACACACACACACACACTTGAACACAAAAACAGATATGTGTCACACTTTATAGACTTCTTTGTAACAGCAGTATCTTTTAATATCCCACGTTAACGGCAGTTTGCTCTTTTCATGAGAAAGGCAGAACTGCAGAACACTGAGAAAAGAGAACTTGGTCATTGACACTTGATTTGACTTTCACCATTCTTTGTTATCTGTTTCCCTGTTCTGCATAAATTGTAAAGAGCTGAGGGGAAAGGGAAATACAGACCCCCGGCTGCTTCTTCAATACCAAGAGTTTACAGGAACCAGACACAACCTGCCCTCTACTGTAATTGGCCCCAATGCTTCCTTATTGTTTGTAATACATTAACTTACACACACAAACGTACAAAGCAAAATATGAAATTGCACGCATACACATGCAATGAAGACTTACAAAGGTGTGTGTTTGTGTGTGTGCGCGTGATAAGGGCTCGGCAATAAATCTAGATCGCTTTCCCTTTACGATGTTGGCTTCCAATGATTCTGATAAAGAAATCAAGATGACACAATCATTGTGCCGCTCCCTGTTACACAATGATTATGTCTTGTGTTATAAGTCCAGCACATCGTGGACTTTCCAAATAGCGGTGCGCAATTTTTGCTAGATTATCAAGTGGAATAGGTCAGAAAAAGTTGACTTTTTAAATGTTGAATATATGTTTAGGAGTTCTCAATAGGGATAGAAGTTGACCTCAATATATTTGATCTAATTTATTTTGGTCTAAATTATTTTTTACCATTTTATATATTAACAATATATATTTAGTAGTTTTCAGAGGTTGCAGTCATGTTACAATATAGTTGATTACATTTTCTTTTAGATAATTTGTTTTTAAAAGTGTGTTAATGAGAGTAATCCTCCATAAATAAACATGATTTACCAAAACAACCTTGATTGGTATTGAAATCTTGCAGCCCAATGCCTGATTTGAGTTTTTCTGGCTTCAAAATGGAGTACAAATATTCCCTGAGCCAATCTGCAGCCAAACCAGCAGCATCACTATGATCTATGGTGTGATATGGGAGTCTGTGGGTGTGGGTGCCACCCAATCCCCTCACATTCAACCCCACCCATGAACCACCACACCCCTGTAACCCCAGCCAGGCTTGAGAGCTTTACAGTTGGAGACACCTGTTGCATCCACAGTTTCAAAGCACTCACGCAAGCGTTCCTCCTCCTCCTGCCTGTTCCCCATCTTCTGGATTCAATGCTGATAAGACATGACACATTGCCCTCCCCACCACCACTACCTCATCTCCTCCTCTCTCCTTTTACTTTCTCCTTTCTCTTAGTTTCTTTGTCCATCTCCTCGTGAAGCCTTTCTGTCCACTCAGTGCGCCACTTCAAACACCAGTACTGTGCAGGTGGACGTTTCAGTGCAGGGGGCACAAACACACATACACACAGACACATGCACGCTCACAAACAGAGGCAATGAATGGAGCAGCTGCCAGGGAGATTAAGGCACGTCTTTATTACGAGAAAATACTGGCAGATTTCATCAAAGACGGCAGTGTTAACAGGAGAACTGGGTGTCCAGATTAAAGACGCAAGTCTGCCAGATTTCTTTTTTAAAGTCTGCCAAGTTTTTTTTTAGTTTTTTTAAATATGCCAGGTTTTTGGATAGCACCGCCTACTGAGAACGATTGTTTGTGCTTGTTGTCGCTGCCATGGTTGCTAACTACCCACTAATCATCTTCTGGCTCAGCCATCCAGCTACATAGAAGTAATGTGGCTGTGATTAGTTAGTTATGTTCTTCTGGGAGAGGGACTGAAGCTGGGATTTTGTGTGTGTTCATCGTAAAGAATTGAACTTTAGTTGTATTTCTTCGCATCAAAGGATGTCAGGCACATGTCGGTGCTTTGAATCATCCATCTGTAACTGTAACTTAAACTAACTGTATCCTTAGCATCTTCCTCTCAACCCCCTCTAACCTCACTCTCCCCCTGTGCCTGGAAACATTAAAGTAATGAGCTGTGAGCGACTCCAAAAAACACTGAATTTCTTGGCGGCTGTTTTCATTGTGTTAATTAAGTCTGTAGCCTTCACCCCTCATTCCCCCCATCCTCATGTTTTGGCGGTATGAACTTGGTGAACCGACAAAGTGCTGAGGATTTATTTCCCTCAAATCACTTCCGCTTTCTCCCCACTAAGCCCCCCTCAATCACACAGGCTCCACCGCTTTACAGCTTCAAGCTCCTTTTAGCTGTCAGATATTGATATCTCGGTTCCTTCAGGCGCCCCCACCACCCTGGACTTGTTAGCACTTCTTACATTTTCCAGAAAAACGTCATTCCTCATGTCCAGAGCAGATTGGAACTGAGCAGTGAGCGGTGAAGCGTCGATGTGCTGTTCAGAAGTGCCATCTGGTTTTTCACCTTCTAGTGGCCTACGCTTTATATATCCACGATCGTGTATTAATCGGTGGGATTTTTGTTCTCGTAAATCCTTTCCGCTCTATTCCCATTAGGTGTTCTGCTCGCACAATTCCAGACGCCAAGCAGTGCAAGCTCCTTTGGATAGTGGATTTTGATATCTTTGTTTCATTAGCCCAACAGGAATCGATATAACACTTTTATAATATTTATTAGCATATTATTTAGACACATATATCATTTTTAAAACCACTCATTGCATAAAAAAAAATACAATGTATGCAATAAAATCCGCCACGGCATTACCATTAATAAAATCCATATAAATGCACTCTACTTAACAAGAGCATCTCTATTTTTCTTTGTTAAAGCTAAGTTGAATTCAGCTTTGTTGGCATGTTGGGACAGAAGCCGCCGTTGCCAAAACAGAATACAGAAGCAATGCCATACAACTGTAAACAGTGAACTGTGAACGGCAGAGCAGCACAGAGCAATGATGTGTGTTTCTGTGTGTGTGTGTTTGTGTGTGGGAGCAGGGTGCAGGTACAGCTATAGGAGAGCTCCCCCCCTACTTCATGGCCCGAGCTGCGAGGCTGTCCGGCGCCGACCCCGACGACGAGGACTACCAGAGGATCGAGGAGATTCTGGACCAGACGCAGCCTGCACAGGTGACTCACCGCTCTCTTCACCACTCTGTTACCTCACACCCTCAACAACAAGAAGTATTCAAACCTTTTACTCGAGTAAAATAGCGGTACTACAGTTTAGAAGTACCAAAAAATAAAACACAAAAATAAAAGTGATTATAATGCAGAATGACCTGTTACAAAATCAACTCAAATATAACTACTCATGCTTCACTTAATGTGAATGTTGTTTCTGCTAATGATGGAGCTTCTTTTAATGACTTCCATCATCATATATAACTTGATTTATCTCTTGTTTTAATAATCAAAATATGCCAAGTAACTCATACAAAACTTATCAAATACATTTTGTACAGAAAAACTTTACAATAGAATTATAAAGCAGCATAAAGTAGACATATTCAAGTAAAGCACACGCACCTCTTAATTGATTAAATTAACTTCTTAACCAACCTTTTTCATGGAAGAGGTTTATGATATTTTACTTAGGTAGAAATAGCAATACTACAGTGTGGAAATATTACAAAAGTATTTGCACACAAATATAATAACTTACTTTACTATATACTTCTGCCAAAGGTAAAACAGTCATTATGTACATACATTTTACAAAAGTGAATCAATGAAATGTACTGAGTTACATTTCACAACTGTGTGCGTGTGCTTTCACAATAATATGACTCACAGAACAGCAATGATGCACTTGAGTGAAATGTTCCCGCCGTTTCCGGCCCTTCGTTTTGAGATTCCCTGTGAGAAAGACACAAAGTTATCGTATCAAACATTGCTGCCAATTCTTCAACAAATCCTCATAGCTCCCTGTAAATATTTATCCTCCCATCCTCTTGTGATTATGAATGGAGGAGGAGGAGAAATGTGCGGAAACATGCGTGTGGTTTCGTAACGGCTTTCCATCAGATCAGTGTGTCCTCCTGACCGACTTCCTCCCCTGGAATGCCTTTCTTTCTCCAACAGTCTGGGTCAAACAGTCAGACAGGTCAAGTGCACTAAACCAACAGCATCCATTAATGGTTTTCAACTTTACAAAGCACTCACTTACTCTTTTTTTAATAAATAAACTGAAGTCGACTTTAGAAACAGATGTTGACACATCAATGCAGATTTATGAGGGGGTCCCATTGTCAGAGGATTACTGAGTGATTCAGAGCAGTGTTCATTTTGTTTACTGTAATTACTTCATACAGGTTTAGCCGTCAGCCTTAGTTTACATGTGAATCATTCAGTACTTGCATTCTATCTTTGAGAATGCAGTGATTCCAAAGGAGAAAAAATACCTGAAAAGCATGCTTCTGCTCACAAGATGAAATCAGTCCCCAAACACATTGTGTTTTAGAAATAAGAAGAAATGTTGTTCTAACATATCATTTATTTGAATCTAGTCTTTCCCATTCTGTTGTCTTGTATCTTCAGATGTTTCTCTGTGTACCTATATGTGCCAAAAATGTCAAACACACGCAAAGAAAACCCTCTCTTTATGTGAGGTGTAAAGCATCGATACACTGTTATAACCTCAGCTATGTGTGGGTATTTATAGTAGTGGAAATGTAAGAGTATGTATTTGTTAAATGTAATAGAATTTAGATCGTAGCAGTCTCTTTTTCCTTTATTTAAATATTCAAATCACTTAAACCATGTGATGTCCATTATCACATTGTCACTTAGAATCCTGTTGGATAACAAAGCATAACATATCTAAAACTCCTTGCTACTTAGTAGAAGTAAAGAAACATTCCAGCAAGATTTGACAAATGTCCATGTTTGAAGTTTCTAGAAGCAGGATGCTGTCTTGAAGCAGTGCAAATCAATCAATATCTGTAATGTTACTTGTATGAAACGTGGAAATAAGTTGATTTGCTTTTTAAGTAATTGAATATGAAAATAAATATTGATAAATATATTGTATTAATGCACTAAATCAGTGGTTTGGTGACCAACATTGGCATACCCAGGGTTACCAGAACATTTTGAGTATTTTTTAAGTAATTCACAAAAGAGAATCTAAATAATAATACTCTACAGCCATTTTCATCACTGTTATCTTTCAGCAGATAGTAGAACTTTTCTTTCCCTCTCTTCTTTTCCACTTTTACCTGCTAAGGAATCCACTTTGGTTAATTGTTTTTGGTAAACTGCACTGCATTGTCAAAAAAAAGTTGTTGCACTTTTTTTTTGTTGAAAATATTGTAGGTATGGCATTTATTTTCTTCATTTGACAAAACACATACTTTATGTATATTGCATTTCGAGCCATAGCCCAATCACTGGTGTTCCTGTATCTACTTTGTCACAAAACACACTCACTTCACTACCCCTGCCTTTCTTACATATCCTAAAATGGAATTGGGTAGATTATTAATTATTTTTAAATGAATCTTTTTTTGCCAACTGACATCATGTGAATGGCTAGAGGCACTGGGTACTCATGTTCAGCTCTGCAGATGTGTGTAAATGAGCCTTCTAAAAATAAATACTGCATCAATCACTTTATTCATTAACAGCATAGTTAAACTGACCGAACTGAAGTGACCTTCTGAGAAACTAACACTGAAACGGATTGAAGGAAGTAAGAATAACATGTGGTGAGAAGGCGAAGTGATGCAGTGACCTGCTCTAAGTTCTCGTTACTAATGTTGTGGATAGCGTAGCAGGTTGGCACCGACATCAGCCCGGGAGCCCGGGAGCCCGGTCCACACGTGTGAGAGTGGAGTTCTGACATCACTCACTGATAAAGTGGCGCATCCCACCGAAACGGCAAGAAAAGAGTAGAGGGGGTGGTAGTTTCACGAACGGGCAGCATGGGAAAGAGGAGATTTTGTCTGAATTTAGATATCAACGTGGAAAGAGCTCCTGCTTGTCTTTTCAAAACAAGCAAGCAGTTTGACGCAGGAGGAGCATCGCCTGGTCGCATCCTCGCGAGGTTAGATTAGAAGTGACGCTGCTCTCCGTACGCCACCTCACTGCTCTCTCTCTCTGACATTGTTTCTCTTTCTGTCCCTCTCTCCCTATGCTCTTGTTCTTTCTCACGCACTCCGTCCGTCTCCCACTGTGAACCGCTCTCTCTCGCTCCTCTCTCTCTGATGATATCTGGCAGCTGTGTGTATGCATGTATGTGTGCTTGTGTGATTGGAAAGCATCTGGAGGCAGGTTGCTAGCACCATTGAGGACCTGCAACATACGGAAACATTTGATGCGCTCGCCAGGGCTTTTACCATTACTCGGAACTTCTCAGGGTTCCCTCTTTTGCTCAAGGACTTCCCACTCTCCTCTGATTTTCTCTCCTTTTTGCACCTTTCAAGGTGGACACGGAGTCATTCACCCGCAGTGGATTTGTGTCAGAGATTTTGATTGATTGTTGAAAATCAATAGTGATAGGCGAAGTGGAAAACAGACTTCACTGGGATCGGATTCAAGAAACGTTGGTATTGTTCGATAGTTGCGAATTAGACAGGAAGTGTTGAATTTTGCCCTCTAGGATTTGACCTCCTTCAACCTCTCCCCTCTTGTAACACATCCTCATATTCTCTCCCACACACACACTCTGACACACTCCACCCTGTGGCAGAAGAGCTGGATTAAGATGCTGACTATGTCCCTCCGCTCGAGTCACAGAGGTGCCAGCAGTTTGACTTCAACCCTGTGGCATTTCTCCCAGCCTGCACGTGCCAACTTCCTGCCACAAGTGCACGTGATGCACAGCAGCAGAGCACTCAGAGTTTTTTTTTCTCATTCATTCAACAGAGCTATTCAAGTATAATGAAGTCATGCCTTTTCTAACGGCTCCAGACGCTGATGTCATGAACATCAGCTTTTTTTCCCCTCTTAAATCTTGAACTCAGTACAAGAGTGCTCGTGTGTCGGAGAGGAATCCTCAGTGTCCACACAGCCTGTTTCCAAGGACCCTGCATGGAACCAGTCCAATGAAGTTACTTCCTGGCTTTTCTTTTTTCTTTTTTTTCCGCATCCGGCGCGGATGGGGTTAACAGGCTGTGAATTCTTGATTGCCAACTCCCAGGATTGTATCTCCTGTAATTCAAATCAGGGCCATCTGCGCTGGGCGTATGCCTGCCTTCCCCCCTGCACTCAAAGGCTCTCTGTGCTGTGGTTTGCCCGGCCCCGTCACGTGACTTCTCTGAAAGTGCCCCCTCCCTCCTCCTCCCTCTTTATTTCCAGTAAACTGTTTGAAAGGAGGGGGGTGACTCAGAGTAAAACCAGCTTCCCTTTAACCACAGCTTGTTAAAGAATTTGTCAACGTGGACTCAGGGGTGCATTTTGTGTGTGTGTGTGTGTGTGTGTGTGTGTGTGTGTGTGTGTGTGTGTGTGTGTGTGTGTGTGTGTGTGTGTGTGTGTGTGTGTGTGTGTGTGTGTGTGTGTGTGTGTGTGTGTGTGTAGATATATTCCAATGTGTATCTATTCTTTTTTCTTCTTTCTTTAAAGGGGACTGTAGCTTGTATTGCGTCAGGAGTTCTTAATCACTCCACTTCCTGTGCCAGAGAGAGCAGGCGCGGGCTTGTCAGGAGTTAATGAGATGAACTTTAGCCGTCTTCGTGTCGGGGGGCTTGCGGCCGCTCCGGAGATGTGTGTGTGTGAAAGACTTTCATTGAGAAAAAAAAAAGAAAACACAGAGAGAGGGGAGAGAAAAAATGTGCGTGGGTGTTGACTTTATGTGTATAGACTATGCATAGATTTTTCCTTGTCTGACACTTCAATTTTCCACGTGGAGCACAGTGCTTTGTCGCTGCCTGCTTTTTGTCTGTGTTTGAACTCTGTACCCCATAAGCACTACAAAAAACCTCAAACTACTGAAAACAAAGTGTTTTCTTTGCCAACTTTTCACATTGAAAAGTCCTTTGTGCAACTTCTGGCAAATCCAAAATAAACATCACATGTACAGTAATGCATTTCCGATGTAAAACAGGCAAAGAGAACAAATGTCACTCACAGTTCTTTCAAAAACATGACATTTGAAACTACTTTACTGTATATCAGCACATCATATTCATACAAATGTATATTTGTAATATTAACAGTTGGTTGTTCCCTGTGAATTTGTCTAATAACTCAACACCTAGCAACTGTAACCACATATATAGACAGTACAAGCTTTCAAAAACTATTAATATTAGTTTTTCACAATTACCTAATAAGAATACCGTCTCAATTTGTATTAATGATCCAGGTGGCATTATTCCATAAGTTTGTGACAAACGCTCTGCTATTTATCATTACAATATTTATGTGTATATTATATTAATTATGATCAAAGCAAAAGTTTAAAATGTTTGATGTTTGAAACGATGATAAACAGATTGCCTTTTAAAACCATTTTAAAAAAGAAAGACAAAAATGCCAATATGTTTAATACTTTTTACACATGAAACATGAAACATATGGCTGTAAGAGTGGAAGATAAAAGTGCTTACATGTGGTTTCTGAGAAGCCTTTACGATTTGCTTATTCAAATGAAGAATTGGTCAATCTGACTGCCAGATTAATTTAATGGGGGGTGTGGTGGGGGTGTGACTGAGCTCCATGTGGGGTGACTGTGCAGGCTTAAAGTAAAGCATCTGAGCCGAGCAGCCAAATCTGGAGCCAAAACCTCCACCGTTTTAATGACGCTGCACCCCTGACAAGATCTTACCAAATGTAATTACTGCTAAGCCCAGCCCTGCCGGCCGGCGGAGACAGGGGTGGAAGGGGNGCGGACCAGGCAGACTTTGGCAAGCAGCCTGGCAAAGATGGTGATTTTCCATAAGCCACCGACAACAGAGTCGGGATGTCTGAACCCCAGCCATCCAAGATAGACACTTCCCCGGCCCAGAAATGCAGAGAGAGAGTCCAAGTACATAGTTCAACTATAGTAAATCACAGTGTCACAAGTTCACACACACATGTACACACACTTTTATACCCGCCCCTCTCCACCTCGGGGACCCTTTGTTCACGCCGTGGTGATATTTTTTCATGATCGCTCTCCCTGCATGAGCCAATAGCTCAACCGCGGCACCTATAATGTAAACAATACGTGTGTCATGATGTCAGAAAATGAATGGGATTCACACAGGCCGTCGCCATGGCGCTTATTGGTTCTGCAGGGTTTTTGCAGTTGTCAGGTGTCCCTGGTCCAGAGTCAGTCCTCAGCGGTTCAGCTACAGCCAACCAAACACATTCCTTCCTCCCTGTCTCCCACCAGCTGAGCCACACACACACACACACACACACACACACACACACACACACACACACACACACACACACACACACACACACACACACACACACACACACACACACATACACAGCGACAGGCTAGAATTAAACTACAGGCCAGTTCAAGGAGAAACTTTTATGATTGGATGTCAGTGGAGGCAGAAATTCAAATGGTGAACCAATCACATTGTGTGTCCCTTCGCTCCCCCCACCACCACCTTATTAGGCGACCCTCCCATGTCTCTCAAATTTCCCCTCCGCTTGGTTGCACTCCGTAAAGAATGTAATCGGCACTGTACTGGTTTTGTTGACCATATTAGGTATGATCGAGAATTGCCATCCCCCTCAAGCATCTCTCTTTTTAAAACATGAATATGATGTTCAGGAAACTGAGGCCTTTCTATTCAGAATGAAAAACATTGCTATTGTCTGTTCATAAGAATTATATTATATTTTATTTCTCCAGTAGTTGATTTTATATTGTTTAAATGTGCTGTGAGTGGGAAAAATCTGTATATGAAATCTACTTCATATATAACGAACATTCATTAAAGAATTTGTGTCTATAAATAATTTCCCAGACCACTATCTGACAGTGTTATTCTAAAATGCCTCTTTGGGAACACTTTGCCATGTAAAAAACGTTTTAAAGGTTTGGTTAAGGAAATATAAACACATTTTTGAATGTCTTAAGGCGTATGTTCACTTTAATGCCAACATAAATATGTGTTCATATCAGCCCTCAAAGTTAAAAAAGGTTTTTTTTTCTCTAAATGAAGGATATCTCCTTTCGAAGCAAAAATGACATAAACTGTATATATATTTGTTTTTATAAATAATTGTATCTGTAGATATTTATTAATCACCAGAGGTTTATATATTAGTTCCATGCACAAATACAAACTTTAATTGAAAGGCACAATATTGCGCTTTGCATTTAAAACATCTACAACATTTCATATAGCCAGTGCAAACTATATATTATAGTAGAAGATATATATAGAAGACTTAATTCATATTTAAATAAAAGCATGGACATTTCTAAATCATGAGAATAGTTATATGTTAGGAGAAATAAACAATTTAGGCTTTGATCCATTTATATAGATACCAAAGATAAAAGTTCAAGAGTTGTATTAAACACTTTCTTTATTTGTTATGACAGTAATCTAACTAGTTTGCTATATTTTGAACTGCAAAGCATGTTTTTAAAAGGCAGAATTACTAAACTAATAAAATTAACATTGCAAGAGACAGGTTTACTTCTTGGTTTTCGTGCAAAAAATTCAATAACATACTTAAATGATATTATGCCATACCTTAAATTACATTCTGAATCAAATTACACAACAAATTAAAGCCATTTTTCAGTCCCATCTGGCTGAAAAATCTTTATTCTCTATTGCCAGCAGTTACAATTATTTTCATATAAACAAGGCCGACAAAATAATAAAAAGCTGCTTTGAATATTTTAGAAATGCAATATCCTCTATATTTAATGGTTATTGTTATAAACATTTCCATTTCTGATTAGAATCAAACAATTTATGTTAATAAAAAACACATTTAATTTACCAATTGCAAATTCAGCAGGGTATAAAGTAATCATTTTATAAATTACCTAGATATTTAATGCATCCAAAATGATGAGAGGTCCTTGATCAGTGGTCTCCTTTGCATCCCCACGCTGTTCCCAGAACTAGTTTGGGTCAAATCAAAACAGATTAAGGCTCCTCTTCCCAGAAAAGGTATGTAGAGAATATGTATGTGTCATTGCTGTGAAAAGAGGCTTTGTGGAGCTTTCAGGAGGGTTAGGGAAAGACCAGTTGAAAAAAGCTAGACTCTGTGAGTCACAGGAATAACAAAAGTCTGCTCTGTTGTTCACACAATTCCAGTGACAAAGGAATTAATAACTGGCCATAAGTGTTCAATACAGAAGTGCTAAAAGTAGTTTGTCCCTAACTCTAATGAAGAAACATGTTTAGAGGCCAGCCTGTACATTCTTTCACAGTTTGTGTCAGGTGAATCAGCCGGGGACTTGAAGATATCTGTGTTGGCAGAACAGTCAGGAATTTAGCACAGGAGTTCATTTAATTGCAAAACCCAATTATTTGAACATTTGAACAAATTAATTTCACCTCTAAAAATACTTGTACTATTAGGTTAATAATTGTTATGTGTTAGACATGCACACACTGGAAACTTTGACTCATTTAGAGCTCCTGATTTCTTGTATTTCACATTTATTTTGGTAGGTGTGAATACATTAGAATTAAAACTTTATTTTTGAAAACTTAATATTTAAGTATTGGGTTTTAGAGATCTTTATCATTTAAAAATCAATTCAGAACTCGGAACAGATTTAATAAGTGCAAAGAGCTCGATGCATATTCTATTAATATATATATATCTTTAAGTTCCAATCTATTTTTTAAAGCTGTACATCTAATATCTGAGGATCTATTTATGGTTCTTCAGTTTTATCTTAGCTCAATAATTGCTAACTTTTATTTGAGGGAACATTTACATGAAGCAGAAACCCCTCCTGTCGCAGCTGATGCTCCTTTCTAATTATTTAAAAACAGTCAGAGATAAAAAAAAGAACTGACTTTTCACACATTTTTCGTTCCATTGGTTCGACATTATGTTTTTAGATATAAAATGGAAAGCTTTATGTCACATCGCACACCATTATTTGTAAATAAACAAAAACATTAGCAGTCAGAGAAGATGGAGATATTTCCAAAAGCAGATCTTTAATCATTAAATCGTACCCCAAATGAATATATGATCCTAAAGTATTTATTTGTTTAAATTCGGTACTTGAATATGTTTTCAAAGCATAGGTAAAACATCTATTCACTAAGAGTTTTACAGCTGGTTACACACATTTATTTCACACAACTCTGTGATTGTCCCCGCTCCACAGAAAAGCTTAGCACTGATCAATTATCTTCTATAATTTCCCCTTAATAAATGTTTGAGTAGCCTTATTCATTATCTTAATCCAAACACCTTTACTTATCAATCTATAACCTATCAGTAATTAAGTGTGGATCATTTATCATATGAAATTTGAATCAGAAATAATTATTTTAAAGTGTTTGATCCAGTATTTATAAAGACAGTATAATGTGTGTCTGTTAAAGCTCTACAACAATAATTAGAATAAGAATAAAGTATTGATTTGTCGGTAAATACAACGATATAATGCTTTATATATTTGTATTTAGGTTTGAGATATCCTGTAAATAAAGCAATCTGTATACAATAAAAACAGAAAGTTATCAGTATCAGATTAATATCAGCATGTTTCTATAGAAATTAAATTAAATTGAACCTTTTTTTCTCACTTTTATTCTTTTTCAGGACTTTGTCAGCCGAGCAAAAGTAGCCATTCAGAAACTCATCCAGAGGGTCGGATTCTTTGGAATTTTAGTCTGTGCTTCTGTAAGTCGAATCACACATAATGTTATCCTATTAAATACTCTTCACCCCCACTATGGCTTTTAAAATCATTTTGTCGTTTTTAAATATTGATGCATTGACATCATTCAGAGAAAAAGACAGTCCTGAACTGTTCAAAAATATTTGAAAAACAGCTTCTATTAATGTACTGTATATTTGTCTAATATCAAATATGCTTATGGTTTCTGTCACATGCTGTAGAAGTTATGATGCCTTCATGCACTTTCTGACCCTATATATGATTTATATTGTATTTATTTAGCTGTTATTGAAACATATCAGGTCTAATCATCTCTTCTGTTTCCCCCAGATTCCAAATCCGTTGTTTGACCTGGCAGGAATAACGTGCGGGCATTTTTTGGTTCCCTTTTGGACTTTTTTTGGTGCGACACTCATCGGGAAAGCAGTCATCAAAATGCACATTCAGGTGAGCTGCACCTAAATTCTAAGTATCTATGTATCTAATGCCACGGTCAATATTTCCTGAAATGATGTAAAGGACATGTATATAGTATATATGCAGTGCTCTTCTTGTATCTTTTCAATGTCATTCTACACAGAGGAGAACAAGCTAAATGTATACATAGCACAGTGTGAGATTAGCTTTCTATAATATTGTTCAGAAGCAGTTTGGTGATGAATCACAATCAAGCATCTCTGTACTGTATTCAGCTGGCAGTAAGGAGGCCATTTTGTGTAAAGTAGGGGGAGTCAACCATTTTGTAATGGCAGCTGCAGCACCCCCGGTTCATTGTACAGTCGTCCGGTCTGACCACAGCAGATTGAGAATTTATGGCAGGGTAAAAAGATCCATCCTAACCCTTAAATAAGAAAGTGGTGTTAGGAGACTTGGCATTACAAACGTTTCTTCTAATCCTGGAAAATCCTCAATTTGCGTCCAGGAATCTGCAGTAGGTCTGTGATTACCGTCAGGGGCTCCGCTTTCTGTTTTCTTAGCAAACGTTTGGAATTTGCTCATGGTGATTCAGAGAGGAAGGGTTAAAAGCAAAGCTCTATTATTTTCTCCTCACTCGGCCCCTTGCTTATCATACGCAGAAAGCATTGTCCGGCACTAAACTGAGAGAAAACGTGTTGCTGGGGTGTGGAGGGGGGGGACCTGGGGAGCACAGGGTGAAGCTGATAAACATTGTCTGTGGGAGGTGATGGAGAAAGAGAGCGGGAGAGAAAGAGGGGTGGGGGGTAGCATGCATGCATGGCAGGCACAGTACCAGATTACACCCAGGGGTCCCGGGGGCCCCCAATGACAGAGGTGTGTCCCTCCCTCGCTCACGGAAAGAAAGACTTCACCCGGCTCTCCGGCATGTCTGGGGGGCCCACTCTCTCGCGTAGCTGCTTGGTTTAATTTCCTTCAAGCTCACATTTTGCTTCTAATGCAAATGATGCAGTAGTTTACAGCGTGTGGGCAGAAAACTTAGAGAAGAAAGCAGAGCAGGTGATGCTCTCCCTCGTGGGCCAAGAGGGAACAAAAGGGGATTTTGAGGCTTCTGTTGTGCTGTGTGTGTGGGCGTTTTACTCTCAATGCTTCAAAGCGTGTTTTCTGAACTGAGTTTGTACCTGTGCTTCAGGTGTGTACTTACAAGGAGAGGCTTTTTTTATTCTTAAGTCTTTCATGCTCATTAAGCTTCACGTGTGAATGTCCGCTGTTGAATGGTTACAGCGTCAGCGCCTTTGTGACGCAGCTGCCCACTTGAGGATGATGGATGATGTCATGCACATACATGTGGGGCCCTTGAGAGGTAATTACACCGAGGACAGTGTAACAGAGAGGGGGCTGTAGAGGAGGACATGGACTGTCATATAGCATAAGGGGAAAGAGAATTTTCTATTGCACCCTTGGACTTTGGTAAGAGTGGTTAATATTAATATATAATGCTGGAGCACAAAAGGATGGAAACATTTCAAATCTTGATTATCCTGGCCAAAATAATAGATTAAATTCATAATGTTGTCAAAATATCCTTAAAAAACTTCAATGGCACAACACGTTGTGGAATCACTTTACCTTACATTGAGTTAAGAAACAGATATTTTTATTGCATCAAAGAAAGGAAACACAAGTTTCTAAAGTAAACATTTGTTTGTAGTACATTTTATTATAAATCATGAGTTCCCCTGCATTAATAAAGAATAAATCAAAATAGCAACATTGTCCGGTCTCTCTTATAGTTCCTGTATTTCTTAAATCAGGCCCTTTGTTCACTTCTCTACTACAATAGCAAGCTAGACATATTTTTAAAGTTCCTCATGTTAGCATATTCATGATAATCCTGAATATGAAGGCATGCTTTGTATCCCCCTGTGTGACCAGGATGTGTGTCGCTCTTATCAGAGTTACCACTTATCTGAAATCAGCGAGTCAGGACCGTGTCACCGTTGGTTTCCCAGCAGAGAAATCTCAAGGCATCTTAGTCAGCTTTCCTGTGTCGGCCATCTTGCTGTCCCCTTCCTCCCTGCCTTGTGTGGGATGATGAATTACTTGTCAATGCCTGTTGAATAGATGTGTGTGAACAAAATCAATATTTAAAAGCAATACTCCAAAATCTCTTCCTGAAGTTGGGGGTTTTGGAGAGGATTTACATACGGTTAGGCCCAGAAATAGTACGATAGCAACTGTCAATTATGTGTTTTGTTATTTTTGTGACATGGTCAACATTTTGACTGCAAGTCTTTAACTCAAACTGGCTTACTTTCCATGAGGTCCTGAGGCCCAACACAAATTAAAGTGACCAAACACATGTATGAAGTGGATGACATGTTACATAACCTTACAAAGAGCTCTGTAACAAAGCACTGATCAAAGACCGTTGTCACATTAAATTAACATTGTTAATGTTATCTATAGTGTAGCCATGCAAACGTGATAATTTGGCTGTCACATTTGTTTTACTTCACTTATAGTATCATCTATCTCACTCTGTAGATGTCTTATTGTTTTTAATCGTCCTGGAAGATATTATTATTCCTCATTACCTCCAATGAGGCTAGTTTGTGTGATATTATCGTTAAATCCTGTGATCAATATACTCAATAGGCATTTGTATTCCATAATATCAGCGAGAAGTGTTTAATTGTATTTCATCAGTAACACATGCTTTTAAAGTATCTTCGAAACTTTTCGGCTTATCATTAGGCTCAGTTTCACTAACTAATGTTAAACGTTGGATTACGTGGTCTACTGTTTCATATTATAATATATATTCATTTAACTGAAGCTTTGCGCAACCGTATAGAGTGAAATATTCAAATGAAATTTTTATGCCTCCATCATTACATGAGATGGAAATTCTAGTCGTCTCGTCGTGTATCATTTTATACACTTGTCCCTATAATTCGGCAGTATATATTTAGTGTCTTTGGAAACCTTTGGATCTGGACTAGAATATAAAATAAGGGCTCTGTGGGTTCGAACAATCCTTTTCAGCTCAACATGAGTTTGTAATGATGGCTCTGTTGGGGTAAGCCTTTCTAATGGCATGTTGAAGGCAACCGAGATGATACTGGATTTTTAGTGGTCAAAACGCATATTTGTTTATGGGAATACAGTAACTTGTAAAAACTCAGAGGGCATGGAAAAGACCAATAAAATCAAGTCAATTATTGGTTCCTTTTTCCTGCCCCCCTGCAGCAGGACAGTCTGATAGGAGCCCGAATGGCTGTCAGTCGCCTGTCAGCCGCCTTCTGACCGATGACTAAGCAGAAATCATACAGGACAGGAGCCTCCAGCCTCCCTTTGAAGCTATGACACATCTCCTTTGATTCCTACACACACGTACACTCTTTTTAGGACGGCCAGTATGATATGCTGACCTAGCGTACTGTGTATTTCATGTGTCATAGAGCCTTTTATTTCCTGCCCTCCATGACAAAAGGCCGGCTTGTGGGCCCCTTTTACCCCAAACCGCCTTGGTGGTGCAAGGCATGGGCCGGTGCGTTATGGGCAGTGTGTGTGTGTGTGTGTGTGTGTGTGTGTGTGTGTGTGTGTGTGTGTGTGTGTGTGTGTGTGTGTGTGTGTGTGTGTGTGTGTGTGTGTGTGTGTGTGTGTGTGTGTGTGTGTGTGTGTGTGTGTGTGTGTGTGTGTGTGTGTGTGTGTGTAAGGGGACGTTACAGAATCACTGTTTGAACCATGATGCACATTCTGCCTTGTTGGTGACCTCATGGATCAGTAACTGAATCGCTCTTTCTGTCTTTGTCATACAGAAACTGTTCGTGATCCTCACCTTCAGCAGGCACATAGTGGAGCAGATGGTCTCCCTCATCGGGTGAGTAAGCCTCAACGGGCGTGTGTGAGTGTGTGCGCGTGATGGCTTGCTCACCAAAAGTACCCTGTTGGAGTACAGCTATCTCACATGAAAGAGTTAATGCAGAACTTGTCGATTGAGGGACCTTTTCAGGTGGGCATGTGGCATTCAAGTAATTTATGTCCCTTTGTGGGAGATGGCGCCTCCTCCTTTATGTGAAGGTCACGCAGAGTCAGAGGTGGCTTTGAATTAAACATGGGGAATTTTGGAAGATGTCTTGTCTCCTTGTACTGTTTGAAATACTATTTGGTCACATTTTGTTTTGCTTTTGGCTCCTAAGTTTGCCGTTATAGCCTTCAAGGTGATTAATGGCTTGTATTTTTCCACTGGATGACTATGGGCATGTTCTAGTTGCTTCACAGGAAAGGATGAACTCTTCACGGAAACCTCCTTTCTGCTTTATCTCGCATGACGCACTGTTGCTGCAGTTTTAACCAGTCGATACCTGAGACAAAACAAAAGAAGAGGGCCTCTTTTGAGTGTCCTGATTGATCACCATGATCTAAACATTTATGTTTTCATAAACTAAGGCCCTTCAGATTTTAAGACCTCGATTGCAAGAATTGTTAATGATTATTACCCCAATTACATGCCAGTATTTGTGTTTGCCAACCTGGAAACAGCATCAGTGTGGTGTTGAATTAACCCCAGCAGCATTAGGACTGGATTTATCAGGAGGCATTTGAAACAGGCTGGTTACAAAACCAGGAAAACATTTATAAAAACCATGCAAACAAAATGTAGAAAACACACATACACAAACACATTCATCTTCTGGGCTTCTTGCAATTAATTCCAACAAGTTGAAAGAGCCTTGGTGCTGGGTGTGGGTGCTGATGGGTGTCATAATGGGTGTCCTTGTAGAGATGCCAGGGGTTGCAGCTGGTAAATGCCCCACACACACCTGCTGGTGGGAGTACCATTTATAACACACACACACACAACTCATACACACTTGTACACTGGTGTACTCTTTATCACACACACACACACACACACACACACACACACACACACACACACACACACACACACACACACACACACACACACACACACTTACTGAATACAGACGATGAGATTGCATCAGCTCTCGTCCTTGCCATGTTGTGTTTTTTGCTCGTTTGCTTTGTTTCCATGTAACATGCAACATGTGTATTTATACAGACAGTACTTTATTTCTTGTTTTAATGCCACAATTATAAATATTTTTTCGAATCTAGGCTAATTGATGAAGCTTACATAGCACAAGTGCGTGCGTGCGTGAGTGCGTGCGTGCGAGTGTCAGTCACTGTTCATTGAGCTGCAGGCTCACGGCGACAGATCATTGGTTATTGACAGGTTTCATTTTGACTCACCGCCCGCTTCTTCTCTAGAGGAAGTTTCCCTCGTGTCAACCGTCAGCTTCCTTCCTCTCAGGCCTTTCTACTCTCACTCTCAATCACACATCACCTTATGAATGGGTGACAGCCTTTCAGTTGTACTCTTTAGGCTCTAACCGTGTCAGTGTTAACTATGCGTGTGCTTGAAATAAGCTTACACCTTTACACACATTTTAATGCAGGCACCTACAGTTGATACGCCGTTCACATGTTTCCTATTTGTGAATGCTTTCTCAAAAGTCAGTTATACTAATTATCAACCTTTTGATTTGTTGTGCCTTTTCTTGTCACCTCATCCACATGCAGGCAACTCATTTACTCCAATCCAAATTTATAACAAAAGGAATTATATGTTTGATCATTATGCCTTTGAAAGTTCTTACATTCATAATTAATTTGTTGAGTGGTCAGATAGCTTAATAGCATCTGAGGTGTTTTTGGTTAACCCATGTGGCATGTAAGCAGCTTGTGCATCATGTGCTATATTTTTCTCTCATTTTTTCTTGATGATTAAACAAAGACACAAAGTGTGTAAAAGTTATTCAGCATAACGACTGCAAATATATAATTATTGTAATCAATTGTGTGAGGAACTTTATTATTTAGGCTCAGTTTGTATTAATTATTTGGCTATGGTTTTAGTAAACTGAAGGAGTCGTTTTTGTTGGTGACTGAAGTCGCTCTTGGACTTTGGACATGGTGATTTCATTCTCACATGACATACGAAGGCTGAACAATATGAGGACAATATCGATAATGTATATATCCAGTTATGCCTTCACTTTTTTTATTATTCGCTAAATATTTTAAAGCCATTTTAAATGGAAAAAATAAAGACATTTTTTGTTAGGTGGCACACACGCACGCACGCACGCACGCACGCACGCACGCACGCACGCACGCACACACACACACACACACACACACACACACACACACACACACACACACACACACACACACACACACACACACAGAGAGAGAAGCTGTCTTCTCACGGAGCCTGTGTAATGTTTGGACTGAAAACATTTCAAATAACCACACACAGAAAATGTACCAAACACTGAACATTTATCCTGACACTGTTGTTTTTCTATTTTATTACAGAATTGTTATCATTGTTGCTTTAATTACATTTTAAAATCATGAAATCAAAACCTCTTTTCAGCTTACAGACAAACCCCACAAAAACATATTTCACTATGAATTAAACTTGCCTGTATATATTATATGAATGATTATATAAATTATTCAAGGTTAAAGTATACATTGATATTGTATGTTAACATGTATTAAGATGTAAACAAACAAAAAAAAGGCAGAAGGGGTCGGATTAAATAAGTGTAAACTTCTTCCGACTCCTTTTCGGACGTGTAATTAGCAAAAGATTTGTTGTTTATTGATATCAGACAATGATACTACAGATTATTCAATTATTAATTAAATATTTCGTTTTGTTATTGGATTCATTTGTATAGTACTGTATCATGTCTGCATCATCTTTTGTTTCATTTGTATTTTCTTTGGTTTTAAACGCTCGAAAAAAATAAATAAACTAAACTAAACTAATCATTACTTTTTTTTTTTTCAAAATGTACACAAACAGGAGTTATTTTATCTGGTGAATTCTGTGAAATGCATTTTGTATTTATACATTTTTGTATGTAACCCATGTGTTAAAATGAGTCAACACAAACAGTTTGGGTGATAAGAATGAAATGAATGCTTTGCCTTAATCAGGCCTTTGCTGATATGATAAAAAAGAAAACACTTAAACCCTGGCTGCTGGCTGGACGATGTATTGTGATTTTTAACAAATAATATCCGCAGTTCAGTGCAGCATTATAGATCAATGTTTCATTTGGCCAACATTGCTGTACAAATGACGATTAATATTTTCTTACTCAAGAACGTTTCATTAGGAAATCACTGTGTATTGCACAAAAGTGTGTATCATCATCTAGTCGTAGTATTTATGTCAATTCATTTTTATTTCATATCCAAATGTGGGAATTTCTTGGGGATATTTCTCAAAATTTTTCGTTTTTTCGTCAGCGGTTGACATCAGGAAAGGAGTTTTTTTGTGAATGACAAACGGAAAGTGTGTGAGTGAAATTCTGTTTCACAAGAGAGCTTTGGATCCGAGGCTCAAATGTCATCAGGCTCTACAACTGTCATCAGCCATTTTCATCACCTCTCCTAACAAACCTGACCAACCCAGGAGCTATTTTTTCAACAACTGGAAATCAAATGTAGAAAATATACTTATTTTAGAACAAGTTGAACATAAGTGACTTCAACTTTACATTATACATTTAAGACTATCTGATGTTCATTGAGTAAGCAAGACTGGACAAAAAAGGTTTTGTGGAAACATAAGTTCTGTCCTTTCACAGTTGTTCAATCTTGTTATTCCCTTTTCCACTGTTTTTCTAATTACTGTCTGTTACAAATGTCAGGCATTTCAAACTTGATATATGACTTATTGGAGTGTATTGTGGAAACAGACTCTTATATCTCTGGCAGATGAGTTTCGCTCTTGTTTTCCTGCCGGGCAAAGCATTTAAGGTTAAATCTATGAGCTTCTGTCAGCAGTGGTGGGATAATAATAAAGATAATTTCAGCTTTGAACTGCCACAAAGTCACAATAAAACCCTGCTTGGATGCCTCTCTGGCTGATAACAGGAACTGATAAGCAGGTCGGATGGAGCTGTGTGTGATCAGACTTGTTGGGCTTCTCTTATGTCCTGTGACTAACGTACAGATGTCTCCTCTTCAAGGCCAGCCATGCGTGTACAGTCATTGTTAAGAAGGAAGACGAATCTGCTAACTCACATTGATTAAGGCTTTGATCAAGAGGTTTCATGCTGTTATTTATTTAAGGGTTCATTTTGGAACTTTTTTTCATTTTCAGATATAAAGAAAAACCCTGCACAGAATTCCCATCTTTCCTTCCAATTGTGAGATTTGATAAAACACATTTAGGATGAAAACTTAAACTACTAATTAACATTTTCATTCACCCAGATGTTTACTTATACCCTCTCTCTAAGGAGCTCTCACTAAACCCTGAGAAACTATCATGACTAATGTCTTGTCTTATTCCACCTCATGCTCATTTTCTACTCTTGAGTTCCCTTCAATTTAATGTGCAAGCGAGGTCAAAAAGCCCAGAAGGACTTCAGAGAACAAACAATCTTTGCTTTGGTGCTCAATATAACTTCAGGGCCACATATTCATATTTTTCTCTGCCCAGTCCTCCCTGTCCTCCCTTCTCTTATCTCAGCTGCATGGGGTTTCTACACCAGTGAGGTGGTGATGGAATGCAGGAAGAGCTTCAAAATCAGCCTTCGCATTCAGTAATGGAACAGGGAGCTTTCCTGTGTTTGACATGCCGTCTGGACAACCAGTCTCCACCTTTGATCTGTAGTGAGTCGTTCTGTTTAGACTAAATTACTTAGTCTGATTCCTGCCACTTTTTCAGAAGCCATATGTGAAGCGGGAAAAAAAACAAGTCTAATTATGAGAGCAGCTCTAGTGATGATTGTGTTGCTGGTGATTCACTGTCTGCAGGAGTCC